ATCTGAAGCAGGCTCCAGGCTCTGAGTTGTCAGCACAGAATCCGATGTGGGGCTCGAACCCATGAACCGTGATATCATAACCTGAGCTGAAGTCAGACGTTCAAAAGACTGAGCCACCACATCTTCTCTTTCCATTCATCTATCAATGAACATTTGGGCTCTTTCCATACTTTGGCTATTGTTGATAGTGCTGCTATAAACATTGCAGTGCATGTGCCTCTTCGAAACAGCATACCTGTATCCCTTGGGTAAGTACCTAGTAGTGCAATTGCTGGGTCATAGGGTAGTTCTATTTTTAATTTTTTGAGGAACCACCATACTGTTTTCCAGAGTGGCTGCACCAGTTTGCATTCCCACCAGCAATGCAAAAGAGATCCTCTTTCTCCGCATCCTCACCAACGTGTTTTGTTGCCTGAGTTGTTAATGTTAGCCATTCTGACAGGTGGTATCTCATTGTGGTTTTGATCTGTATTTCCCTGATGAGTGATGTTGAGCATTTTTTCATGTGTCGGTGGGCCATCTGAATGTCTTCTTTGGAGAAGTGTCTATTCCTGTCTTTTGCCCATTTCTTCACTTGATTATTTATTTTTGAGGTGCTGAGTTTGATAAATTCTCTGTAGATTTTGGATACTAAATCCTTTATGTGCTATGCCATTTGCAAATATCTGCAACCATTCCATTGGTTGCCTTTAGTTTTGCTGATTGTTTTCTTCGCTGTGCAGAAGCTCCTTTATTTTGATGAGGTCTCAGTAGTTCATTTTTGCTTTTGTTTCCCTTGCCTCTGGAGATGTGTTGAGTAAGAAGTTGCTGCGGCCAAGGTCAAAGAGGTTTTTGCCTGCTTTCTCCTCGAGGATTTTGATGGCTTCCTGTCTTATATTGAGGTCTTTCATCCAATTTGAATTTATTTTTGTGTATGGTGTAAGAAAGTGGTCCAGGTTCATTCTTCTGCATGTTGCTGTCCAGTTTTCCCAGCACCACTTGCTGGGAGACTGTCTTGGTTCCATTGGATATTCTTTCCTGCTTTGTCAAAGATTAGTTGGCCATACATTTGTGAGTCCATTTCTGGGTTTTCTATTCTGTTCCATTGATCTGAGTGTCTGTTTTTGTGCCAGTCCCATACTGTCTTGATGATTACAGCTTTGTAATAGAGCTTGAAGTCCGGGTGCGGTGCCTCCTGCTTTCGTTTTCTTTTTCAAGATTGCTTTGGCTATTTGGGGTCTTTTGTGGTTCCATACAAATGTTAGGCTTGTTTGTTCCAGCTCTGTGAAGAATGCTGGTGTTATTTTGATAGCTATTGCATTGAATATGTAGATTGCTTTGGGTGGTATTGACATTTTAACACTATTTTTTCTTCCTATCCAAGAGCATGGAATCTTTTTCCATTTTTTTTATGTCTTCTTCAATTTTTTTCATAAGCTTTCTGTAGTTTTCAGTGTATAGATTTTTCACCTCTTTAGATAGATTTATTCTTAGGTATTTTATGGTTTTTGGTCCAATTGTAAACGGGATCGATTGGTGTATAGGAAGGCAACTGATTTCTGTGCATTGATTTTATATCCTGCAACTTTGCTGAACTCATGGATCAGTTCTCGCAGTTTTTTGGTGGAATCTTTTGGGTTTTCCACATAGAGTATCATGTCATCTGTGAAGAGTGAAAGTTTGACTTCCTCCTGGCCAATTTGGATGCCTTTTATTTCTTTGTGTTGTCTGATTGCTGAGGCTAGGACTTCCAATACTATGTTGAATAACAGTGGTGAGAGTGGACATCCCTGTCTTGTTCCTGACGTTAGGGGGAAAGCTCTCAGTTTTTCCCAATTGAGGATGATGTTAGTGTTGAGTCTTTCATATATGGCTTTTATGATCTTCAGGTATGATCCTTCTGTCCCTACTTTATTGAGGATTTTTATCAAGGAAGGATGCTATATTTTGTCAAATGCTTTCTCTGCATCTATTGAGAGGATCATGTGGTTCTTGTCCGTCTGTTCGTTCTTTCTTTCTTTCTTTCTTTCTTTCTTTCTTTCTTTCTATGTTTATTTTTGAGAGAGAGAGAGAGAGAGTGTGTGTGTGTGTGTGTGTGAGTGGGAGAGCGTCAGAGAGAGAGAGGAAGACATAGAATCTGATGCGGGCTCCGGGCTCTGAGCTGTCAACACAGAGCCCTATGCAGGCCTCCAACTCATGAATGATGAGATCAGACCTGAGCTGAAGTTGGACGCTTATCCGACTGAACCACCCAGGTGCCTCTCTTGTCCTTTCTTTTATCGATGTGATGAATCACGTTGATTGTTTTGCGGATATTGAACCAGCCCTGGATCCCAGGTATAAATCCCACTTGGTTGTGGTGAAGAATTTTTTTAATGTATTATTGGTTGGCTAATGTTGAGGATTTTTGCATCCATGTTCATCAGGGAAATTGGTCTATAGTTCTCCTTTTTAGTGGGGTCATTGTCTGGTTTTGCATCAAGGTAATGCTGGCTTCATAGAAAGAGTTTGGAAGCTTTCCTTCCATTTCTATTTTTTGGTACATCTTCAAGAGAATAGGTGTTAACTCTTTCTTAAATGTTTGATTGAGTTCCCCTGAAAAGCCATCTGGCCCTGGACTCTTGTTTTTTAGGAGATTTTTGATTACTAATTTGATTTCTTTACTGGTTATGGGTCTGTTCAAATTTTCTGTTACTTCTTGTTTCAGTTTTGATAGTTTATATGTTTCTAGGGATTTGTTCATTTCTTCCAGATTGCCCATTTTATTGGCATATAATTGCTCATAATATTCTCTTATTATTGTTTTTATTGATCTCTCCTCTTTCATTCTTGATTTTATTTGGGTCCTTCCCTTTTTCTTTTTGCTCAAACTGGCTAGTAGTTTATCAATTTTGTTAATTCTTTCAAAGAAGGTAATGCTGGCTTCATAGAAAGAGTTTGGAAGCTTTCCTTCATTTCTATTTTTTGGTACATCTTCAAGAGAATAGGTGTGCTCTTTTCTTAAATGTTTGATTGAGTTCCCCTATGAAAGCCATCTGGCCCTGGACTCTTGTTTTTTTAGGAATTTTTGATTACTAATTTGATTTCTTTACTGGTTATGGGTCTGTTCAAATTTTCTGTTACTTCTTGTTTTAGTTTGATAGTTTATATGTTTCTGGTTGTTCATTTTCTTCCAGTTATTTATTGGCATATAATTGCTCATAATATTCTCTTATTATTGTTTTTATTGATCTCTCCTCTTTCATTCTTGATTTTATTTGGGTCCTTCCCTTTTTCTTTTTGCTCAAACTGGCTAGTAGTTTATCAATTTTGTTAATTCTTTCAAAGAACCAGCTTCTGGTTTCTTTGATCTGTTCTTTTTTTTTTTTTTTTTTTGGTTTCTATACATTGTTCTGCTCTAATCTTTATTATTTCCTGTCTAATGCTTGTTTGGGTTTTTATTTGCTGTCCTTTTTCCACCTCTTTAGGGTGTAAGTTTAGGTTGTGTAT